GGAAGTAGAGAGATAAGTTAAGGATTGTTGGCATTTGTCAAGGCAAAAGAAGGCAAAACCAGTGGTAGTGAGGATAGAGAAGATACAGATTCAGAAATAGACAAGGGGAAAATTGGTGGCAATAGATTATCTCTTGGATATAGGTGGTAAGGAAGAGGTTGGCAATGTAGGGAATCCACAGAACCAAAGTCTCTTGAGTAACTTGTATAGGACTTTGGTTCCACAAGAAAAAAAAACAGTTTATTACCACAAAAGGAAAAGAAAAGTCTGATTGCTCACGCTTCTTTTTGCATTGCTCTTTGGGAGTTTCTGTTTTGCAGCTGGAGAACCAAACTGGTCCTGGTTTAAAGTTCCACTGTCTGTAGTTTGAGGGCACATGCGGTGAGCAGATCTAATGAGTCCACTAAGTATGTCTTAGAGGATCAGTGCATGCTTGATGGTTGCTCTTTTGCCCCAACTTTATTGTTGTTTTTTTTTCTTTCTAGGGAAACTGGGCCACCATTCAATTAATTTAATAGCATAGATGGCTCCTCAGGAAGTCCAGTTCCAGATGCCACCAGAGGAAAACAATCCAATGCCAAGTCTGTTATAAACATTTCTGGGCTCTGCATTCTCATAGGATGTGTGTTGAACATAACATATCAACCCTGGCTCTAATCTTAAAGCACCTGGAACATGAGGTGGATCTTTTTATGTTTTAGATCCTAAGAGGAGATTTGGCCCACAGATATATAAAAAGAACAGTTTGGTTTAGAGATAAAGAAGAATATGACTTTAGAAGAGAGGGACCCCATTGGTTATAAACTCTTCTACGAGACTGCACAGAGGCTACATGTTATCCATCTTCGAGCACAGTACCTAGTGACTGAGCGTGCGCTCTTAGTAAATGATTATTGAATATATGAATACATAGAAAGTCATCTAGCCTGGGACAGGAAAATGAATTATAATTTTTAATAAAACAATTCAGCCTTTTGGAAAGCAAAAGGAAAATCCTAACATAACATAGGATTCCAGAGTAAAATAAAATATAAAATCTGTCATAGCTAGGGGTGGAAGAAACATCACACTTGGAGCTGACTAGGTTTTCTTAGCTGGCTAGTGCTAACTGGCAGGGGCACCAGAGTAAAATGGGCCTTCTGGAAGGCTGGAAAGCTGGAGGAAGAGGTGTTTTCCTGGAAAGCCATGGGATAATTCTGATTTTTTTCCCTCTAAATTTAGAGTGGGGTCTTGCTGATGCTGAGTTTGAGACAAAGTTGAAGAGAACAAGTTTTGTAAGAATTCCTTAAAGGCCTGGGTTTGATGATCAGTGCACATTCCTCAGGAAGAATTATAACAGGTCAATAAGAACATAGCAAGTAATGAACCTTTCAGATCCAGCAAGGACTCACATTTCATGCACAGTGTCACCAGCAGTTGCATGACCCCTATCAAGGACCCCAGCAGCTAAGGGAAGTGACTCAAATATGTGTTTCATCTGCTCTTACCCTGGGAAGCCACTCTACTTCTTATACAGTTATATATCTTTTGCTAATTAAACCAGGAACCTAATTTAATATTTTTGCTTTGTGTGTAAGATTTCTTCATGTCCATCTATAACTCATCTGAGATACAACTGGCATAAAGATGGGTTCTGAAATGCTATAGTTGGTGTCAGAAGTGGGATTCATAAGCCAAATTACTATCATGGTTTGATTTTAGAAATGGTGCCAGGAAAACAAGAAATGAAATGGTGAGATAAAGAAGTGTGAGAGGAAACTCAGCCCAGGGCATGAGATCATTGGTTTTCTGAGGGAGATGTTTTTGGGAGAGAATGGCATTCACTATACCTTTATATCCAACCTTGTAGGACTTGTACATAGCTACAGAGGGATGAGTTAATTGCAAGGTAGTCAAAGTTATGGTTTCCTAGTCCCTACTGTGTTATCCAAGGGTGGAATCATTGCATAACCCCACAAAACTGAAAAAGTTGGGAGACAATGAGGTTCTGAGTCATCCCCGCAGCTTTGGCAGAACTGGCAATCAGTTACTTTCTGGCCAGAAATTACTTATTTGATAGGGAATGTTAGAACCAAGATATACTCTAATTCTCCCTGCTGAAAAGGTTAAGAAAAAAAGGGGGTAGGTTAGAAGACAAAACTGTTCATCTTAACTGTATCTCCACTTGAATATGTATACACAAATCTTACCTTTTTTTTTTTCTTAGAGAATATATAGAAGCCTTAAAATGGGGCCTAAAACTCCATGACTTTGGAGCTGGCTGATTGCATTTTTACTGAGAGGGCTTTAGAAATTCATTTGCACTTGAAAAAAAGTTGTCTTCTAAATGAAAAATTATCAATACTTAATTGAGGAATAAAATTTCAATTGGTGAAAATGTAACAACTTTGTGTCTCAGATATTATTTTAGGAAAAGGTGACCTGGCTGGATTAGAGCCAATTGAAATACAATGGTGTGAGGCTGGCAACAGGCCCGACATCTCTAAAGCTGTATTCTCTCAGGCTGATTTAGAAATTAGGCTTCAGGGTAGCTTCGGGGTAGGAGGGAAGTTGGATCCCTCTCTCATTATTCAGTAGAATAATAAAAGATGAGGCTATGTTGTAGATTAAATACTATTGTAGAAGGTGATGAGATGTTAAAGATTGCATTTAAGAAAGGAAAAAATGGTGGCATTGGAGGGGAAAAGGTGTAAGAGTTGGTAGGCAAACTCTCTGATATAAAGCTAACTTGAACAGGGCAGGGAGGGAAGAGAATGAGGGTGGTATTAGTGCAATGCTAGCAGCCAGCACAGTAAGGAAACCTGGGACACCCATCTCACCTGAAAGAAGCCAAAGGTTGCTCACAATGCCTGCTAGTACATGCTCTGGACCAGGGACCAGTGGCTCTTCATGAAAATGACAGCAAGATGGCATGGGGTGCAATGCCACAAAATATGAAGCAGACAATGATTCCAAAGCCAGGAACTTCCTGGAGGTTGTCAGGAACGATCCTAAAATATATTACTTACAATATATAGTAGACTATATACTACTGTATCTATATATACTAGATAGACTACAGAGAAAGGTACTTGTGACTGTGGTCCTTGGACTTTATAAACTAACGAGTATTTAATCAGAGCCAGGGAAGGGAGTGTGGAGAGAGAGACAGGCTGTTAAGATGCTGGAAGTCTGAAGGCAGAAATTTTGTTCAGGAACATTTGTACACTGACTGTTTTCTCAATTGAGATGAAGAGGTGGTTTTTGTAGATGCTGCATTTGTTTTAACAGCCAGGAAAACATATTCTTTCTTTAATATAAACACAAACATATTTATATAAACGCATAATTTATGCATTACATTGTCTCATATTCTTGGATGTATATATAATTTTTTGGTTTTTTTTTTGAGACAGAATCTCGCTCAGTCACCCAGACTAGAGTGCAGTGGCCCAATCTCAACTCACTGCAACCTCCACCTCCCCGGCTCAAGCAATTCTCCTGCCTCAGCCTCCCAAGTAGCTAGGATTACAGGCCTTTTGCAGTCTCAGTCCTGCACTTGGATCTGAAGAACATTGGAGATATTGCCTCTGAGCAGGACAGAGCATATCTGTAACAGTGTCCAGGAACAATATACCTTTGAGGGAAGATGCTTATTGCCAGATTAGTGGGATTTCTCCAAATATGAAAGACTTCGTTCTAGGTAGAGACAAGATAGGAAATATGAAAAGCAATGATGGGTAAGACAGATAAACCAGGTCATACCCACTCTGGGATGATGGACAGCTGAGGTTGGAGTGATGAGATTGAAAGGAGGAATAGCCAGACGAATGTTGGATCAACAGCAGGGATGTGACCAACAGGTTCCACTACCAGTTATCTGTGTCCTCTGTATCTCTGGTTGGGGGCATGAGAGTTTGTAAAGTAATTATGGTAGACTTGTCACTGCCCTGATAAGAGAGAAGGGGAGACAGACCCAATTTACATAGAGGGAGTAGGTCAGAGGATGGTATCCACCATACTGATCTCTTCTCCCTGCCTCTTCATCTCTTATTTTTAAAATCTTTTTCTTTTTTCTTTTTTTTAATTGAGATGGAGTCTCACTCTGTTGCCCAGGCTGGAGTGCAGTGGCATAATCTCAGCTCACTGCAACCTTCACCTTCCGGGTTCAAGCAATTCTCCTGCCTCAGCCTCCCAAGTAGCTGGGACTACAGGTGCCCACCACCATGCACAGCTAATTTTTGTATTTTTAGTAGAGACAGGGTTTCGCCATGTTGGCCAGGATGGTCTCAATCTCTTGACCAGGTGATCCGTCCACTTTGGCCTCTCAAAGTGCTGGGATTACAGGCGTGAGTTTTCTTTGTAGGGGATTGTTGGCGTAAGTACTGAATTCCTAATTAAAGAGGGACAACAAAATAGCAAGCATTGAGCTTTCCACTGAAGTCCTGTCTTGCACAGACAGCGTCACAGGGCACTTCACACCCCCTGTCAAGTTTTTTGGGGACCAAGGAAAACTATGTGGAGCTTCCACTTTGCTCGAATGAGATTGTAAATCACTAGTTAATTACATTGGTAACCTCATCTTGCCCTACCATGTAAGTTTTACGTGTGCATGCTCTCTTCTTGTGTATCTTCCTCCCAAAGCCTGAGCTTCCTCAAGTACTACACACATTCTAGTTTCTCTTTGATTTGGATAGCCGAGAGGGAACAGCACCTTCTCTCTGTACTCAGCACGTCACCAAGCTCTTCACCCTCTCTTCTTGCCATAATCAGATCTAGTCCCACTAAGAGAGCCCCATGATTACTGCCTGTTTTGCAATGAAATAAGAATGAAAGAGACAGGACAGCAGGCCCAGCATCAAGGCTGAGAAGGGACTTGATGAACCAGTCCTTGGCTGTATCAGTTTTCTTCCTCATTCCTATGACCTTGCTCTTCCGACCCTGGACCAAATCTTCACCTTTGTATAACTCTGATTCCAGGAGGAATTTATCAGTGACACCAAGTGCAAGGAATCTCTTACCAGATGCCAGAAGATCATTGATGAGCACAAGGAACCTCTCATCAGCCACTTGGGCATCAGTCATGAGGAACACTGTGTTGAGATTCTTCACTCCGGCTTTCAGACACAGGCTGGCCAGGTCCATCTGTAGAAACAGTCAATATCAGAAATCTCTGAAAAGAAGGCCTCCTTGAAAGAGAACTTTTACCCATTCTTTAGAAATAGAACCATTTTCTTCTCTGCTTGAATGGGAATTAAAGCAAGGTGACAACAGGAAGCTGGGGGAGTGCTATCTTGCACTGGTGGGCAGGAAACTATGCCTCATTCGCAGGCTTCGGTGCCAATAAAGGTGGGCGAGAGAAACTACATATTGATGGCCTCTAATTCATACAACTATGGTAGCTCCTGTACCTCTCTTAGGTTGATTTAGAAATTAGGCTTTAAGGTAAAGCTTCTGGAGCTCCTGCTCTGTGCAAAGAGGTTACAGCTTTCCAAAGCCCACAGGTGATCCTCTATTTATCTCTCTTACTTACGTCCTCATACAAGTGAATGACCTGCTCCTGAAGGCAAGCCATTGCTCTTGGTCTTGACTGAGAGTGATGTACTTGGGGCTACCAGCATGGGGGATGAATATATTTTATGCTAGCAGGATCTTGTGTTCTTTTTTTTTTTTTTGAGATGGATTCTCGCTCTGTCACCCAGGCTGGAGTTCAGTGGTGTGATCTCGGCTCATTGCAACCTCTGCCTCCCAGGTTCAGGGTATTCTCCTGCCTCAGCCTCCAAGTAGCTGGTTCTACAGGTGCGTGCCACCATGCCCGGCTAACTTTTCATATTTTTGTTGTAGAGACGGGGTTTCACTATGTTAACCAGGATAGTCTCGATCTCTTGACCTTGTGATCCACTCCCCTCAGCCTCCCAAAGTGCTGGGAGTACAGGCATGAGCCACCATACCCGGCCTCTTGTGTTCTTATGACTAGCTCCAGCAAAACACTTTTGTTGAAAAAAACACACTGGGGCAACACATGCACACAAGCACACACACACACACACACAAATGCAATCACCTGTAGGAAATTATATCCATTGAAAACTGCAGATGGATGACATTTTGGGCTAGGATGCCAAGTTCTGAACTTATCCAGCTTGATCAATCTCAGTTCCTTTGCTGTATCACCCTCCGCAGGCTCAGCCATCAGTTCCTGATGTTGCCTTTCTTTCTCTCACACTACTCACAGCTATTTCTAACAACTCCACACATTTCTTTACCACAGAGCTACCTTAGTGTCCAAATAGCTCCCCTTTAAAGATACTGATTTTCGTTTTAGGTCAATGGTTCTCACCTCATGCTCTAAGTGATCTAAGACAGTGTTTCTCAGTCCTAACGGGAATCATCTTGGGGATGCTTTGAAAAATTATGATGCCCAAGGCCATTCCCCAGACTAGTTAAACCAGAATATTGGCGGGTGGGACACAGGCATCCGTATTCTTTCTAGATGCCCAGCGATTCCCATATAGAGCAAAAGTTGAGACCCACAGTCTCAGCTCATTCTGTAAATGCGTAATTCCTATCACACTATCATGTCTCTTTTGGAAACACTAAAGAAAGACCTAATGTGAACGTGATGTATGACCTTAGATTCAGTCAGTCGTCGAGAGGCTGAGCTGTGGTTTTAGGGCAGAAGTGAGCACCTCCCTCTTCTGTCACTGGCTGAGAGATTATGAGGACAAGTGGGTGGGACTGGCTCAGTGCTGGCTGGAGTTCTTCCAGGAATAGCAAGAGCAGCCTCCTGATAGAAGTTACACCGTGACTTCCTATCAAGACTGTTGTGGCCATGGATACAAGGAAGGGGACTGGACACAATGACCTTTGAATGTTGTATATAGTGTCTTTCTCTACTTTCCAGAGCACTCATCGTGCCTCCAAGTGCTGGCTGTCTGAAACCAGGATATGTCACTGAAGGTCCCAGAGGCCAGTGGTTACTGACCCGTCTTTTAAAAATCTGAATTTCTTAGGGAACTCAAGCAGACCTTCAGAATTCCATCTATCTGCTCCCACTGTAGGTGAGCTGTGTGCTGAATTTGGTTTAGATGTGCTTCTGATTTGAGCACGAGTGGAGGCCCCACAGACGTAACTAGGACACCTGAGGTCTCCCAAAGGCAGACTTTGGAAAGGCCACTGTTCTCAGGCTGAGTCTAATGAGAAAAGTCATTCACGTCAGCAGCCCAGAATCTAAGACAGAAATGGACAGATATTGAAGGGGAGGCTCCGGACAGGGGAACTGGAGAACGAGTGAAGGATGACGGAGCTGTGGCTGGTTGGAGGGAAGCTGAGCCTCCTCCCTGCAGCCGCCTGACCTTTTACCTTGAAGTCCTGGATCTGGTAGCCTTTCCGCAGTGTGATCTGGAAGACATCCATGGAGCTGATGAAAGCTGCCAGCCTTGTCAGGCTCTGCTTGCCACTCCCACCTACACCAACCAGCAGAGCATTTCCCCGCGGGGACTCCAAGATGCGATTGATATGGCAGCTAAAGAGAAGGAAGCAGGCACATGTTGCTTTGATCAGACTTTCTGCAGTCAGAAGCATGTATAAAGGCTTGAGTGGGAGCAGGGGCCTTCCTTGGAGGCATGTCACAGGCTGAGCTGTGGGAAATGTTAATGAGATTGTCCCCAAACCTGGCCTCACCTTCTTGCCTGAGTCAACGGAAGCTGCCATTGCTTTGCCTTAAGCCACAGCCTCTAGTGAACCAGGGACAGCTTGGCGGAGCCCATGGAAGGGAGCAGGATTGCAGGGGCATGAGTGATGTGATTGGGAGGGGACTCAGGGTTGCTCCTGCTCTTCTCCCCCACCATACCTGACCCTGCCACACCTCCCACTTCAATTCTTTTGGGCAAGAAGAGGGGACAGAAAAAGTGAAACAGTGGAAAACATACAATTTAAAAAATTCAGGAAAGGCTGGAGGACAAAGCAGGAGCAGAAGTTGGTTCCTCTTAGGAAAGAAGAGAAGCCAAACCAAAGTCAGCAGGAGAGGAACAGGGAGCCCGGACAGAGCCCATCTGTCTCTCTCCTTCAATCCTTCCTGGGCATCGATGACCTTGTAATGAAGGTTTGTGGGTTCTTATTATCAACAGGTAAGACACATGCATCCCTGGCTTCTGGATTCCTCCTTTCATAGCCTTACTGCTCACCGCTCTCAGTGCCCATGTTCCTCTCTCCTGGCCGCCTTCCTTGCAATGGAAGACTATTCCAGGCCTCATCCCCTTCAGAAGAAACCACTCTTCCTGCCCTCCAGCCCTTCCTCAAAGGCCACCCTTCAACAGCCTCTCCTCCAGGATCCACTTCCAATTGTTTGTCTAACCCCTCTCAGCAGTATGCATATACCTTACGCAAGGTGCTACACCCTTTATAAAAATAACCCTGATTTCCTCTTCTTTCTCATCTTAGAAACAATGGCTCTGCATTGTACAAAATGCGTACAATACAGAAGAAAATCCACAATTCTACTATTTAGCAATAAACACTACTGACGTAAATTATAGGTCCTTCTAGACTTTTTTCTAGTGTCTGTCTGCATTTTTATAAATACATATGTTTGTATATACATTGATTATACCTGAAAAGTCAATACATTTCTGTTATGTGTATTTTAAAAATTGAGTTCATCTTGTATACTGAACATAGTGTTTTGAAAACTTTTTTTTTTCATTTAGCAATATACTGTGATTGTTTCCCTAAACCATTAAAAATTCAGCTAAACCAGACTTTTGATGGTGGAATGGTATCGTGTAGAATACCAACATTGTGTTGGTAATAAGGATAGAATAAATTGTCTGTCTGTAACAGCCTGCTGTTGGATATGTATGTTGCTTCCAACATTTTCCAGTTATAAACAATGCTGTATATATTTTTTAAGTTTATATCTCTAGTTATATCCTCAGGATAAGTTCTAGAAGTAAAACTGTCGAGCCAAACAGTAAGACACTCTTTAGAGATTGCCACAGAGAATGACGGCACCAATATGTACTTTTCCTAGGTAGAACTGACCAAAAGGTGGATCTGCTATATTGGAGGATTTGAATATACTGGATATGTTAGTTGAATTAGAATGTGTTAAGTCAGTGAATGCAGGGCTACGTAACACAGTGATCAGCTGCTTTAGAGAAATGGATATGGAAGAAGAGACAGCAGGTATTAGTGATTTGGAGACCAAAAGAGTGTGAGAATAGAAGTCAGGCCGGGAGCGGTGGCTCACGTCTGTAATCCCAGCACTTTGGGAGGCCGAGGTGGGAGGATCACCTGAGGTCAGGTGTTCGAGACCAGCCTGGCCAACATGGTGAAACCCTGTCTGGAGAGGGTTCAAGATTTCAGGCTGGATGCCTAAAACATTTGTAGCAATAAAAAGTTCTCTGGGGGCCAGGTGCAGTGGTTCATGCCTGTAATCCCAACACTTTGGGAAGCCAAGGTGGGTGGATCACCTGAGGTCAGGAGTTTGAGACCAGCCTGGCCAACATGGTGAAACCCTGTGTCTACTAAAAATACAAAAATTAGCAGGTGTGGTGGTGCATGCTTGTAATCCCACCTACTAGGGAAGCTGAGGCAGGAGTATCTCTTGATTGACGGAGGCGGAGGTTACAGGTTGTAGTGAGCCAAGATTGCTCCACTGCACTCCAGCCTGGGTGATAGAGAGAGACTGTATCTCAAAAAACAAAAACAAAAACAAAAACAAAAACAAAAAAAACTCAGGTAAAGTTTGGCCGAATAGAGTAAGGGACACGTTTGAGACTGAATTGCATGGGCTACAATCCTGTGCTCCTGTCTGTGTTAATGATGTTATAACTAGAAATGCCATATTCAAATTAAGTACTGGTGGAGCAACATAAGACCTAGCTAGCTCCAGTTTGGAAGAAACTCTGGGTATGGGTTTTGGTGGGTGGGGTTCGACACATGAACAACATGTGAGTGTATATAAAGTTACAGAGCTTGTGTTGAGCCTCTGTGGTTTGAAGTTTCCTATTTCTGCAAATTTCTTGCATGTACTGATGACTTGCTCACAATGAACATAAATAAGCTAAATGTTTGTGGGTACTCATTGCTCCATGTCTCCTGTGGGGTGTGCTTGCTGCTCTGAAATCTCGCTAGCAGTGTGTGGGAGTCTGGCCCCCAACCCTTGTTGCCACTGCATCTTACATTTAATTTTAATTTTAATTTTTTTTGAGACAGAGCCTTGCTTTCTCGCCCAAGCTGTAGTGTAATGGTGCGATCTCAGTTCGCTGCAACCTCTGCCTCCCAGGTTCAAGCAATTCTCCTGCTTCAGCCTCCCGAGTAGCAGCAGAGATTACAGTTACCTGCCACCACGCCTGGCCCCCAAAGAACTTTTTATTGCTACAAATGTTTCAGACATCCAGACTGAAATATTGAACCCTCTCCAGATGGGGTTTCACCATGTTGGCCGGGCTAGTCTCCAACTCCTGACCTCAGGTAATCCATCCGCCTCGGCCTCGCAAAGTGCTGGGATTACAGGTGTGAGCACCGTGCCCAGTCTTACCTCTAATTTTTAATCTTTGCCAATTTAATGGTGGAAAAATTACTGTTTTTATTTTTATTTATTTGGTTTCTAGGGAATTGAACATTTTTAAATGTTTATGAAGCATTTTAGTATTTTTGTTTTGTAAACTTTCTGTTCACGCCTATTGCCTGCTTTTCAGTTGAAGTGTTTCTCTCAATTTGTGAAACCCCTTTATGTATGTTTTCAGTTACCCTCCAGTTTCTCACTTTTATCTTCTGGTTTTTTTTAAGGTGTTTCAGATATATAAATATTTTTAGGTCTTACAGTTGGACGTAGTTAACTACTAAATTTTATGTAGTTAAAATGTTTTGACTTAAATATTCAGGAGTTATTTATTGACCTACATTCAGTAATTTTATGATTTTACTTTTCCACTTTAATTATTTTACTGTGATACTTACACTCTGTCCTATAACAGACAGATTTATACTTCTCTTGCTTTCCTACGAAACCGTAATTTCTAGATGTCTGAAGAGTGCATATACTCATTTTGTATTCTCTGCAGTGATAGCACCTTGAAGGTATCTAATACATTTTTGTTAAATTTAAACAGAAAAACCCACGCCTTATACTAGCTCCACATTTGGGGTGATGCACACAATGATTCATTATGCTGGGTGCCACGGGTTATCTTCTTTGTGTCAGAATGAGATGGTGCCTGATGACGGGAGAAACCATGGTGCTAAGACACCCAGGCCCTCTCTCCTGATTCAGGAAAGGTGGGGCAGGAAAGGATTAGTGGAGGAAAGAGAGAGGCAGACATGGAGGAGGAGTCGGAGGAGTTGGAGTCCAGCTGGGTTCTCTGGGTCACCCAACCCCCCAGTCCTATTCTGAAGGCCTGAACTCAGCTTAGCGTGGCCCATGCCATTCAATATCTCAACGGGAAATGCATCGTTAGTGATGAAGTTTCCAGAGAAGTGTGGTTAAGTCTGCAACCGTCAGCACCGGACTCCAGCTGGCGATTCATTACCAACCTCTGATGAGGGCAAAGAACTCTGTATTTAAATTACAAAATTTAAAAAGAAGATCAATATTCTAAAGGGCTCCTGGGCCAGAAAACCAAGGCAGTCTAAGTTAAGTCCATTACTGAATTTCTGAGAGATTAAAAACAAAAGCTGAAGATGCACCACCGCACAGCTGGAGGAAGCTGATTTATTGGACTAGACACGCATGTGCATGTGCGCAAGCACACACACGCGCACACACACGCACACACACACCCCCTAGAGAATGGGTAAGATTCTCAGGGCACAAAAGAAGTACATCTGAGGGTTTGTCGTTGTTGTTGTTGTTAATGATTGCTAAGTGATTCTAAGAGAAGAAAATATATGTGGGAGTGAAAAAACAGACAGAAAAAGATGAATGGAGATTATGCCAAAAGCGGGGCAAAAGATCTGGTTTAAAGCTTGAAGAAAAAGCAGAACAAGAATCTGCTGAAGTGGTGACGAAAGTCAGTAGAAAAGTGGTACTACTAAGGAATAAGCCTATAGCACAAAGAAAAACCACTTTAACATGTACTGACTGCAAAGCACTTCGCATAGATAGCAACAACCCTACGATGCAGGCATTCTTTTTTTTTTTTTTTTTTTTTGAGACGGAGTCAGGCTCTGTTGCCCAGGCTGGAGTGCAGTGGCCAGATCTTAGCTCACTGCAAGCCCCACCTCCTGGGTTCACGCCATTCTCCTGCCTCAGCCTCCCGAGTAGCTGGGACTACAGGCGCCCGCCACCTCGCCCGGCTAAATTTTTTTGTATTTTAGTAGAGACGGGGTTTCACCGTGTTAGCCAGGATGGTCTCGATCTCCTGAACTCGTGATCCGCCCGTCTCGGCCTCCCAAAGTGCTGGGATTACAGGCTTGAGCCACCGCGCCCGGCCAGATGCAGGCATTCTTAATAGCCTAATTCCCCAGCTGAGGATATTTAGGCTTCGGGGTTAAGCATCCTTCCCAAAGCATCCCAACCAA